ACATTAGCGGTAGCTTTTTTGTAGGTGCTTTTTATCAAGATGAAGTAGTTACCCTCTAATTTCTAATTTCCTAAGTTTTATCATTTCTGTATCACAAACACTGAATTTTGTCAAGTGCTTCTTCTCTGATTGATACAATCATGTGATTTACTTTTATTCAGCCTGATAATACAGTAGTCAATTCTAAAATATTAAACCAGATTTCTATCTCTGGAATAACCCTCATTTGGTCTTTAAAAGGTATTGCTAAATTCTACTTGCTAACATTCTGCTAAGGATTTTCACATCTATATTCATAAGGATATTGGCCTGTAGTTTTCTCAGTTGTACTGTCTCTGGTTTTGGCAACAGAATAATTCCAGCTTTACAAAATGAAGTATTCTCTCCTTTTCTATTTTCTGGAAGAGATTGTATAGAATTAGTGTTAATTCTTCTTTAAATATTTGGTAGAATTCTCCAGTAATTCTTCCATCCCCAGACACTCTGATGTTATTAGCATGTAGCATGACCCAGGCGTGGGGATTTAAAAAATCTCCCGGGGTGATTATACTTTGCAGTGTGGGAACCACTACCTTATTGTATAGAGTGAATATGGCTAAGCCTATTATTATTTCATCTGTGCTTACCTTGTCTGCCTTGGTAGCCTACAATCCTAAGGCAGGACCAGGTCAACTTTTTTTTTTTTTTTTTGAGCATGGATTGATTGATCAACTGATTGAATATTAGGCCCTTATGTGCTTATGATTAACCAGTGTTAACAGATAATTACTGTATTGGATTGGAATTTCTTTTTAGGGGGAGATTTAAAATTATAAACTCATCTTCCCTAATGGTTATACGTCCTTCATACTTTTAAAAAACAAAGGTGGGGGGCCGGGCGCAGTGGCTCACGTCTGTAATCCCAGCACTTTGGGAGGCCGAGGCGGGCGGATCACGAGGTCAGGAGATCGAGATCATCCTGGCTAACACCGTGAAACCCCGTCTCTACTAAAAATACAAAAAAATTAGCCGGGCACGGTGGCGGGCGCCTGTAGTTCCAGCTACTGGGGAGGCTGAGGCAGGAGAATGGCGTGAACCCGGGAGGCGGAGCTTGCAGTGAGCTGAGATGACGCCACTGCACTCCAGCCTGGGCGACAGAGTGAGGCTCCGTCACAAACAAACAAACAAACAAACACAAAGGTGGGATGAGAGTTTGATGAGGGCTATATTGGAGACAGAGTACAACATATCAAAATTTGGGGATTCAAATGTGGTCGAGAACATTGGTTTTCAGTATTTTAAAAACGATGGATCCTTTACATCAAATGAAACCTGACATAGAATCCCAATACAAGACCAGAGACTCTGGTAAAATCTTAGGTAGGAACCTTTCCTTCCCTCCCCCAACCCTTCTTAGGGCCATAAAATCTGGAGGCATGCTGTGGTCGACCACAGTTACATCTCCACACAGGAAGGCCCTTTGTACACACACTGGGAAAATTGCCAGGTACAATTGGCCAAGAGTGGTCACAGGTAAGTTATGTAAACATAGCATAGAAAAAATCTTGGAATGTTGAACCTTGACATTAGGTCGCAGGGTATGGTCATGCCCTCATGTGATAACATAAATTGTGCTGCTTTTCCGGCAGGAAAGAAAAAAAGGAGTACCTTAGTACCCACTCAGGTTGCTGATCATTACCTCTATTTTGAGGGCTCCCCCAGGAGGAACACGAGAGACCTTGAACAGATGTGCTCTTGGATGCACCCTTTTGTATGAAGTTTTAATGTCACTTGATGATCAATAAACCTTATCAGTTGGAGAAGCAGCCAAACTGGACTACTTGCTTCCAGGCAGCTTATAACCTAAAACAGAACTTTCACAAATGCAGGATTAAATTTGTCACCCATTTTCCTCTTCCCGTCTATGATACCTTAGATGGCTCTATTTTGTAAGCATCCCAAATTAAGGATTCTCTCTGCTTCACTGGAGATCTTGACAAAGCAAAAAAGCCCCTTCTTCTTTCCATTAACCAAAATGGTTGTTTAGGATTCTATACGATTTTTAATATATGTAGTCTTCATTTTAGTATGACAAATGAGGGCTCACGATTAATAATCAGATCAGTAATCAAGAATATTTTTTGCCAAGAGTTGCCTTTTTGATTTTTTTGAAATTACCTCAGACATAACCACTGTTAAGTGCCAGTCTCCTTCCTAACATTCCTTAATTTCTGTTGTTAAGTTGATAAAAAATGTAAAATTGGAACATTATTCAACTACTTTGACAATTTCTAACTCCAACATTATAAACATATAATTTTTAAGTATTTCTTAACATTTCCAATTTGAAAATACAGGAAATTTTTCAAGTCTGAAGTCATAGATAATAACCTTCAGAAACTGGTTTGAAATGTCCTTGACATTATGAATATTCACCTGTATTTCCAGACAGATTTGGTTTATATATCTCTGGGATAAACAACAAACATTTTAACATTAAAAGTTAAAAAATGTCAAAGACTTCAAAGGCTTTGTTGTCACTTGTACTTTTTCTTCTTAAAAATCAGAAGTATGAAATGGTCTTTTTATTAACCTATGTCCTAAATTCAAAATCCCCCAAATAAATACACTGCATACTAGATAATCAGTTTCATGATTCGGAGCTCCGAATACAAAATGTACTACTGCTTTAGTAACACACATCTTGGTTTTATAAAGTGAAACAAAGACTGAGAATTTAAGAAAACTGTCAATAGTATTGCAAACCCTTGAATATTCAAAGTAATGTCATACGTGTACAAAATGTTCTCATTTCCACTTGAATAAAAACACGACCACTATATGAATAGCTAACGAAAATATTCATGGTTTGCAGGAAATTTTCTTTCCAATGAAATGAATTATGGTTTCAAAAATGAACAGGACGCTGCTGCTTACACCTGTAATCCCAGCACTTTGGGAAGCGGAGGCAGGCAGATTATGTGAGCTGGAGTTCCAGACCAGTCTGGGAAATCTGGCAAACCGTCTCCACAAGAAATACAAAAATGAGACAGGTGTGCTGGTGCGTGCCTATAGTCCCAGCTACTTGGGAAGCCGAGACAGGGTTGCCTAAGCCCAGGGAGGTCAAGGTTGCAGCAAGCCGAGATCAGCCACTGCACTCGAACCCGGGCTACAGAATAACACCCTGCCTCAAAAGAAAAAAAAAAAAACCTTTTCTGTTTATGACCAAAAAAAAAAAGGAAAAACATTATCTAGTTTTCTTTTCATAGTCCAATTGATGCTTTATTTGTATCAGTATGAAGTTCATGGGGGAAAACACAAATTGCTTTTCTGGAGAAAAGGCATTTGGAGTGTTGATTAAAAATATTGGGGACGTCTTTGTTATGAGTTTTTATTTGGCGGTTCTGTGAATTCTCACAGTAAATATAGTATGAGAAATGAAAATTCCAATCCTGCTTCTGGCATTTATTTTACCTTATTTAATAAAAATAAAGATTATCTCCCATATCTTTCAATAGATACTCATGATGAGACTATCAAAAGTTTCTTGACAATTTATAAAACATCTGTAGTTTCAAGAAAAAAAAAATCTGCTATGGTATACAAAATCCTGGCAATTATATATTGTGTAAAATATCCATAATAGTGTCACTACTACAGCAGAGCTTAACCACTGTATTAGGCATAATTTGGTTTCTGTTATGAATATGGAATGAATTCAGTAAGTTCTAACACATTTCAGAAAAAATAACTTCTGCTGTTAACAAAGCAAAATTATTGCTTAGGTATTTATACATATCTGCTTTGTAAAAGAAAATGCAAAATGTATCACGAGTTTAAAAAACTATATATATTGACCATGAAGTTCTGAGAATATATCATGAATAATCAAAGGCATGATGTTCACAGCATTGTTCATACTAAAAAGTGGAGAGGTTAAGTTCCCAAAATGAGAACTGATTCATTACATTGATTCATCTTCAAATAATGGAGGAACCATTAAAAATAGTATCAATATCATAAGGGAAAAAAGGTTACAAGGCAGTAAAAATTATTTAATTCCAGTTTTAAAATGTCTGGAGATCATTTATAAATGACAGGCTATCATATTACCTCCACACTTTTAAAAATGTTTAGCTTCTCCACAATATTACATGATTAAAAAGAAGATTAAAGGACAAATTCATTCATTGTGCAGAAATACTTTTCAGATAAGTGAAGGCTGACAACATGCTTAATCTGCAACTACTCCATGGGGGCTGGCCTTACATGTTTGTGTGTATATACACAAACATGTAACTTTTAAAAATAATTGTACCATTATTAACCAAAGTCCTCTACTTCACTAGATCTCTAGACTTTTATCAAATTTGTGATCTGTAGATGAGAATGTATTTTCTTGCAGCAGCAGTGTCACGTTACCATGTCACAGATGACAGAAAATACATGTGATGAAAATCGAAATAATTCATCATTCAATAAACTACATAGTATGAAATGAACATGCTGAATGATGGAAAAGCAGGCCAAATCAGATCGGGGGAAAAATGGTCCAGATGAACTGTGGAAATTACAGAAGTTCTGAAAACTTTCAACAGCTTTGCAAATTGATATTATAAGCACTTTGTGTCTAATTGCACTTCAGGAACTATGGTATTCCTTCTTTAACATCAGAATAGTATTTTTACATTTATCACTTACAATAAGGAGAATTTTTTGGCTGCCAAGCGGAATAAGGAGAAAAACTTCCAAGCAGTAAAGGAGTCAGGAACTAAGGGGGTCATGAGGATTTGTGTATGTGTGAAAGGAGGAGACATTAAGCCAGTGACATATTGGTGCCAAAACTGACTTAATACAACTTAAAATGGAGGGTAAAGAGGGGAAGAGGAAATGTGAAGTCATTTCTTTGTATAAACATTCTCAGAATTCTCAATAATGTAATGCCTAATGAATGCAATTTTTTTTTCCAGTATAAATTAATATAACTGATGCAAGATGTAGGACAATTTTAAAACATTAACTGTTTTTAGTAAGACTTTTATTTTAAAAATTTTCAAAATATAAAAATAATAAATATGGATTTAACAAAACATAATTCAACTATAAATAATAAAAATGTTGACAACCCCACATAAACATTTAATACTATAAACATTCTAAGCATACAAGAGTAGTTTTCTAGTTCAAGTTTTATCTTTTTTCAGTTCAAGTTGTATTATCACTTTAAAAAAATAAACAAAAAAGCTGCTACAGCTTAACCAATTGCTTTCGCTCCACTCAAAGAGCAGGGAAATTTTTTCCCCATGCCAACACACATTCATGAAATGGGATACTTATGGGCACAGGTATTTAACACTGGAACAATCCAGTCTCCAAACAAGAAGACTCCTTTGGTGTTTTTCAATTCAACAGTCCACAGAAACTGAGTTAAAATAAACCACTCATTAGAAGAAATCTTGTGCCAGACAGTATGTTCTGAAGTAGCATCACACCCAAAACAGGTTTAACCTTCTGAGAATGAAAAGCAGGCATCCATGAATGCTTTGCTGATACTTAAAACATTCTATCATGTGAACATTCATTAAGGTGCTGGAAGGAAATCTTGGGGACAAAACAAAAAAATCGACACATCAATGCAAAAACCTACAATGCAATAACACATCTCTTTACAACTCACCAAATATTCTATGAATATTTAAGAATCACTATGCCTCCTCTTGAGTGATGGATATGGGAATTTAAAGCAAAGCAGGATTACGTATTTTAGTATTAGAAAAGTTTTTCATTTGAAATAAGGGAAAAACAGCCATGCTGAATGAGTTTTTGGATTCTAGCCAAATTAACTGCCTTCCTCTTAACAAAACAATTTTCTTTTTGGGAAGCTGGGCACAAGTAAATGTAAGGTCATTCTGCATCATATTCTTAAATTACAAAGTGTTTCTAATGGGCTGAGCTCTTTATCCACACATCAGAGACCACTTTGATAATTATGCTGCTGCTACATTATCAAAAATCACAAGCAATCAGATTAAAACCTAGCAGAGTCTGAACAATGGGTTCAAAAATGATATTGAAAGCTTTTATAGCACCAATGACTTTTTCCTAAGACACTTGAGGGGCCTGTATCATTTTAAAGTATGATTTATCTTGTAAACAAGACCAAAAATATTCAGTTGATCTGTATTTTGAGCATAAATATTTATAAACTCTATTTTTAAAAAAACAAATATAGCATGACTAGAGCAGCTTAATAGTGTAAAATCTAAGTATATTGAAAAATATAAAGATATATAAAAGGCTTTCATTATGCAATCATGCAGAGGAAACTGTTTCATTCAATTACACAAAAGTGGTTCTGTACAGTTATCTACAATAGCTCCATGAGAATCCTACTTAGGAAAATAAAATAATGAAAACCTTATCTTTAATTAATCAACATATGGGGATTTTAAATATGTAACTGACTAGATCTCACAGCAATTTTCAAAAAGCGCAGTGATCTTCGTGAGAGTTAAGTCATCTTGACTTCTGATTCTCAACGGTATCTTCAATTTTGTTTTGCTTTGTTTTTAATTTTAAAAGCAAAAAATGAAAAACCAAACCCAACCAAACAAAAACACCAGGATGACAAAGCTACAGGTAGTGGCATGTGGTCCATATCCATTAAGCAATCAACACTGTTAACACCAAGTATAGTGTCTTCAGACAATAGTCTTTACTCTAGCAGTAAGCCACTGTAGTAGGGCAGAAAATTCTTTGTTCAAAATTAAAAATACTCAACTATTTTGGGAAAATATTAATGAACACCCTGTGGCTAGTTTGCAAATGTGAACCAAAAGTCTTAACAATTAAAAAAAAAAAAAAAAAGTGCCTTGTAAGCTACCAGGTCCTTAAAATATTAGAAGACTTTCTAAATGATGTATTTTCTTTAACCAAGCCTAGAATTAACCATGCTGTGTCCAACCAATGTGGATCAAAACAGATAATTTACATTATGACTGATGTGTTTATTACATTCTTTTTATTTTTCATGACAAATGCAATGCATACTCAAGGGGAAAAAAAATTTGCAGAATATTCAGCTTTGCACCAAAAAAAAAAAAAAAAAAAAAAAGGTGATAAAGGTAGTATGACTGGATAAAAATAAAAATGAGGGTGAATAAAAATCAGTGTAAATTGGACTTTTCTAATATAGCTACTACCAGTATAGCTTCCAACTTTTTAAATGCCTCCTGAGAATCTGTGAAGGAATACTCAGAAACTAAGTGAAAACATTTCTTATGGTGCCCATTATAGAAAGGATATTGTGGGTACATATTTAGGATGAGATTTAATCATATTCTTTATAAGTAATTCTAAGCCATATTAAGCCATACTGCTTATAAATAATTTGGACATACACTTCTTAAAATGGGTAAAAACTAGTCTTTACCAATTTTAGGCACACGACACTATTTCCTCTTGCTTTAAAGGTCGTCTTTGATGTCTTGATTGAAAAGTCCAAAAAATGTGAAAAAATTATGTTAAAACATACAATAAGTTTTAAAAGACTTGTAATCTACAGATTATCATTTGTCACTTGGAAGAAAACTATTTTGTTGGCTTTGAAGAGTTAAGAATTTTTAAAATATTTGGGTAAATCACCTTGGCAACATCATCAGAAAGTATAGTCAGAAGAAATGCACAAGCTATTACAGTACATAAAAAAGTACTTTATCATCTATTCAAAATTATTTTAAGTGGCTATCCTACTCCCAGAAATACATCTTAAGATCCCCCCAAAATTAAAACCAAACTCATGTTTAACTTTTTAATTCATTTTCATTTTAAATTGTTCATGCTAATGAACACAGTAGTATATGGCTTTACAGATTTCCTAGACACAATCCTCAATTTGGCTCAGACTGAATATACGTCATCCAAGAGAACTTTTTCATTCCTTCTTAAGGTGTTTAAAAAATAAATGGCTATAAAGTACGGGGAGAAAACATTTAAGAATAAGGTCAGAGCACACATTCAGATACACTTTGAACTCAGATGTACTCTTAGAGAACTGTAGAGATAAAATGCTAATTATAGTACATGTAAACATCTGTTCAAATTGATAAAGAGTGAACATAAAATAATAGGATGATATTATTGTAACAGTCGTCTCCAGACAGGAACTGGTCTTGCTCTTGCAGTCACAAAGCTAAGGGAATTCAGGCAATGATGATCTCTCTCTGCTGGAAAAAGAGAAGACTATTAAAAAAAACTTTGAAAATAGCAAATAAATCTAAAACTTGAATCACATCATAAATTGACCTCCAACTTTTCTAAACATTAAAAAAATCTATTTGAGAAAGAAATCAAAATCAAAGTTGCAGGAAAATTACACAAAGCTTTGGGCTAAAATGATTTTAACAAAACCTCTCTGCATCATGCTTCCTTCAAACATTAGGCTGCAAAAGATCACAGCATACAACATATCTATGGTCTAAAATTTTCATTAGAAAAACTAGTAACTGACATGGAAAATTTTCACAGAGATGTGGGTAGGCAAAGAAATTTTAAGAAATCATGAACAAATTCCAAGACTTTGTAAATAAAAATGAAAACAGAAACAATTTTCTTAAGGTTTCTCAAAGATGTCAAAGTAATTGCAAGATACATCTAATTTCCTTAAACTCCATATGATAATCACTTCATTTGTTAATCACATTATATGAAGTAAAAGTATACTAAGCACAAAGGCCCACAGTAAAAATAAAAGGAATACATGGAAATCAGACAGTGCCTGGTATATAAGGAGAGGCTTACTTTGGATGATGGAAAAATGAGTAGATGGATGAAATAAACAGTGAGGGAGGAATTTAGGAATTTAGGAAGTAGCAAGTATAAAAAGTAGATACAAAAAAAAGTAGAATTTTAAAATGCTTTTAATTACATTAAGTAACAAGCACATAATATGGATAAACGGCAAGAAAGTTAGGTGTTTTTCTACTAAGCAAGTTTGATGTTTTTCATTAGCAATTATTGGGAATGGCAGTCATGTTTACCAGTTTCTTTCCTAGGATTTTTAGGTAGCAACTTTGGAAGATTATCTGTTGTCATCTGATAGGTATATAATGATCAGAAAGGAAAAATTTAAAAACTGCTCTTCTCTAAAGTCCTGTATACATACCTTTGAGCAACTAGCCAGTTCAAGAAGTTAACAGGAACAAGGTAGTTCCTGAAATCTGGGAAAAGGAAATTTTCTTCTTGTCTTACAAATATTGTACACTAGTAATTTAATTATGCATTAAATTTTCATTTGTAATTTATAGTATTTTATAAGAACTAGAAAAGCCCCGAGAGAAAGACCAAAAAGTTAACTAAGCCAGAATTTCATGCAGGAAATTTTTGTTTTAAAAGGCTAATACAGACTTTTGTAAGTGGGGCAGGGTGTGTGTGTCTGTGTGTGTGTGTGTTGGGTGGAGCTTACAAAATTTATATAAATTCTAGAAGAACTAAAACTAGTTTTCTATCATTAGTCTACATTGTAAGGGGGAAAAGAGAGAAAACATTGATAAAGTTTGCTTCATACTCTAAAATAGCCAGTGATATTTCAACATACCAAATAAGCAACTGTTGCTTCCTTTTTGAACCCTTATAGGCAACGGTTAGTGTTCCAAGTAAGAGTGGATAGAGTCCCCCAAAATCAGTTCTAGTAAGAAGACATTTCTTTCCATTAAACTTAGCCACACTTTCTACAGGAAATCAGCTAAAACAGTGAAGTCCTGTCTTTAAACTATTAGTTGTCATACTTAATCAAATCACAATAAAACAAAAGCTATGGAATATTCTCCCATTCCTGCAACATGTTTTCATCGAATGCTTGGGTATCAGTTAAATATAAAATTTAATTTGATATGTTACAATTATCCAGTAACATTTAAAACAACAATGCTTAAGTAGAGACACAAAATATTGCGTGAAATATGTAAAACGACAACTCAACCATCCCTTGAAATAATCCTAATCAATCTTTTAACCAGTAATACACAATGTTCCTCAATTTTTTCCTGTAGGAAGAGGCGACCTACATTGCTGTCCTCAATCCTTTTCCAACTCCCAACTCAGCCTGCAGCCCAGGTCTGTACTAAAGCAAAATAATCCGTTAGGAGAGCTGCAGAATTAAAAATGTGTTTCTAGTTTTAGGTAGCATATATATAT